CCTACCAGGCTCCTCTGTCCATGGGATTCTCCAGGCAAGAATACTGGAGTGGGTTGCCATGCCCTCCTCCAGAGGATCTTCCCAACCCAGGGATCAAACCTATGTCTCTTACGTCTCCTGGATTGGCAGGCGGGTTCTTTACAGTGCCACCTGGGAAGAACAATTTTAGACATAAGACAAGACAAATCTAGTGTCTGAGTCTCTGTCTACAGAGAATCCCTGTCTCCTTCTGCTGGGCTTGTTTCTCATTTCCGTCCTCTCTTTCCCCTCTTGTCTAACTAACTAGTTATCTCTCTCTCTCATCCTAGGGCTTTGTCAGCCAATGGTAAATTAGATCTTTTTCAAGGATCTCGAGATAAGAGAATATGCCAAATTCTCAATTAAAATATCAATGATAGTAAAGATTTTATATAATTTATGTCATTGGAACTGATATTTTCCTGTCGCTAATTAGAGCCAGGCCTCAAAACAACCCTAAGCCGTGAAGATATTGAAGCTTGGAGAAGTTAGGCAAATTGTTCTAAGTCACACCCCTAGTAAGATGCAGAGCTCAGGCTCCGTGTCTGACTTCAGAGCCTCCTTGATCCTAAATCACTCAACTATCCCACCTCTTTTTTTCTGGAATAAATCTTTGGATAACCACCTCACATATACATGATCTTCATACTTTCACCGTCTCTTCAGACTGAAAACTCCCTGGAAGCAGGAAGCTTTGTCCAATACACAGTATGAAAAAAATAATAGATATTGATATTGTTTACAGGTTGAAATGATGCTATTTTGGATATATTGGGTTACTAAGCTACCAAGTTTAATTTCACCTGGTTCTTTTTACTTTTTAAAGTGTGCTTGTTAGGAGACTTAAACATGCATGATGTGGTTCTTACTTGTTTCTGTTGGACAGCACTTCTTGAGGAGGGGAGTCCAGGAATTTTTGTTGCTGTTGTTCAGCCACTCACCCATGTCTGACTCTTTGCGACCCCATGGACTGCAGCACGTCGGGTTTCCCTGTCCATCATCATCTCCCGGAGCTTGCTCAAATTCTTCCATTGAGTCGATGATGCCATCCAGCCATCTCATCCTGTGTCATCCCCTTCTCCTTCTGCCCTCAATCTTTCCCAGCATCAGGGTCTTTTCCAATGAGTCCTTTTCCAGGACTCTTCCCTGAGACCAATTCAAGTGTCATATTAAGGAGCTGGCAAAGGGAGGAAATCAGAGTGGAAACCGGAAACTCAGTCCCCATAAATTCTGAATGATACTCCATATGACTGAAGCTGCCACTTCACCATGGCTCTGCATTCTTGGTCCCTTTCGTTCTCTAGACTCTTAAAGGTTTTGTTTAAAAACAAATGGCCTCACGCTCGCAGGATGGGTCCCTCTGTCCTGTCTCTCTTACCAATTAGCCTGTCCTGAGGCTGAGAACACAGCAGCCCTCCCACCTTCACTCCTGTTTTCCACATGATCCCCATTCTGTACTGCCCAGGGTGGTCTGGGGTGTTGATCTATAAAGCCACTAAAGCAGCCTTGGAGATTTAATGAGAGGGGGAAATTCACACTGACCAGAGTTCCTTTCTGAGTAAGAATTGTTTGGATTGAATTGTTGAAATAATTTGGTGTAGCACTCTGTGTGGAGAGGGGTAATGAACCTGAAACTACCAGCAGGTCCTAAAGTTACTAATTTGCCTTCTGAAGAGCACAGATTTGGTTAATTGTGGGACTTTTGTTCTGCTGAGTTGTGAATACAAGTTTGAGGCTGGAAGGTGAATTGCTCAGGACAGTGGAGAGGAGGAAAGCAGCCACGGGCATTCTTCTCTCAATCCATTCAGCAGATGTGCTTTTGTCAATAATTTAATGACTGTGCATGGGCTGAGAGAGCAGAGTATTAGTCTCTGGGGCACCCACATATCTTCACCTGGTACTGGCATGCTCTGATGAAAAGCGTTTTCCTGATAGTTGCTTTTGCTGCCTGACCTGGTTTGGTTAGGATTGCATGTTTCCTGATGAAGAAATGACAGAGCTCTGTGTGTGTGTGTGTGTGTGTGTGTGTGTGTGTGTACAAGGCATGAGAGACCGTGCCTTGAGAGAACATCTTCAGGAAAGCAAGGCAGGGGCCATGTCTTCAAACTACACTATTGCTTTCTAGGATTTAGTAAATAGATCTATTGCATTAATGAGAAATGCAAACAAGTACATCCTCCCATGAGCCTGTGAGGCAGAAGTGACAATGAAAGATGCAGAGGGAAAGCCAAGGATATACTTGCTCAAACTATAATCTATCCAGTCTGTATGAAAAGAAAGGAAGCCTGTGACAGACTTAGAGAACAAACTTATGGTTACAGGGGGAAGGGGCGGTGGGAGAGGGATAGATTGGGAGTTTGGGACTGACCGGTACACACTGCTAGATGTAAAATAGATAACCAGCAGGGACCTACTGTATAGCACAGGGTACTCTGCTCAATCTTATGTAACAACCTAAATGGGAAAACAATTTGAAAAAGAATAGATACATGTACACCTGTAACTGGTCACTTTGCTCTACACCTGAAACTAACATAATATTGTTAATCAACTATGCTCCAATGTAAAATAAAAAGTTAAAAGAAACGGAAAAAAGATTCATCCATCTGGTCTCTCGATTCACTTCTAACTAACCCAGAACCATAAGCAGGTTCTATTCTTTTCTGTAACCCAAGGACAGCACCTTCTTTCACTCCTTTCTAATAGTCCCTCCCCACTCTCCCTGGGCACTAAAGCTAGCATTCTGCATCCAGGGGATACTGACCTCACAAAGACAAGGGACTGAAGAGGGGCTTCTTGGCAGGGCCTGGCAGTGAGGGTGCTCCTAGTTACCCTGGACCCCCGGAACTGATTCAGAGTTACTCTCTGTCTAAAGCTGAGTATGACTTGATCAGGCTCATGGCTGATTGCCGTTTACTGAGCCTAAAATTGCAGGACCTGACACTGCATGTGATCAGGCAGAAGCCGACTGTCTGAGTCCCGGGACTGGCTCTTTGAGTTGTGCTTGGAGAGCGTGTGAGATGCAGCAGTTCTGCACTTCTGGGCCACTTGGCTCCCAAAGCAGATGTGGGTTGATGAGTTTGCTGAGCTGCAGGGAGTTGTTTTGGACTTTCTTAAGAGCTCTGAAGGACAGAGATTCACACTTCTCCAGAGGGTGCCTGGGCATCAGCCCAATATTCTGACGGTGACTTGTCAACTTTGTGACCCTTCAAGGCTCTGCCCTGTGGAGATGCCCATTCCTATCATCTCCACGTGGGAAATCAGAAAAGTGCCAAGAGAGATGCCCTCCTTCCAGAAATAGAGTCACAGACTAGCCCATTCTAGTGAATATAGTAACAGCAGTTGCTGGTGATATTAGTCATATGAGCAAATACTTAAACGGGGCTTGCTGTGTGCCAACTACCATTCTAGGCTTTGCGCGCACCAAGTTATCTAATACTCAAAATCCGGTACTGTTGTTGTCTCCACTTTATAGATATAGAAACCAAGGCAGAGAGGATATATAATTTAGCTAAGATCACACATTTGATAAGTAGAAAACTCTGAATTCAATGTGTCTCAACTCTTATTCATATATATTAGATTGCCTTTCGCTATGTATTTACTCACTGAAACATTCTTTGTTCACTCATATTAGAGTGGGTGAGGTGTGTAGCAATACTTAGCAGTCACAAACAAATGTGTCACAGAGACCCAAAAAAGATTCAGCCCTAGGCATTGTCTCTGTCTCTGCACAGAATTGAGGAATTCTTAGTAACAGTGACTTAGGAATATTCCTTAGATGGAAAGGATGATATATGTGAAATGCATACACTTGTCTTGGTTGTGTGCATGTGGCAGCAAATGGAATGGACTTCATTTGTATAGTCAGGTCTCTTTGACCTTGGGTGTGTAGTTGTGGCCCCTGACATAGGGTCTATGTAATTTCATCTTAATGCAAATTCTATGGTTTGGATTTTGAGAAAAGGAAAAAAGTCTTAAAACATACCTCAAAATCCCACGATCAGCCTGTGCAGACTTGTAGGGTTTGATAAGACAGAACAGGAGAAGGAAAGAAGCAATGATGCCTCAAAGGGTCACCAAACCAAGAAGCAGCAATTTCTTATCAGGTGATCTAAATCTCCTTTCCAAAAGATAAAAATAAATTCAGAGAATTACTATTTCTTGGGTAGAAAGATTAAGAAAGTTTGCCTAATTCAAGCATGTCACTGAAATAGTGTAGTTTACTGTTTGTGAGAGTATGCAGTACAGACCTAACTAATTTACTTAGATTTAGTGAGAAGATATGGAGGGTGTGTGTTTAACTTAAAACAGTGTTAGTAATGGTGGGGATTAGGCCAAAGGGGTGGATTGTGCAGACTCATATTCTCTCCCCTGCCACCCATCTCAAGTCCTTAGAATGAACAGATATAACTTTTAAATGTGTTTAAAAAGGGTAGCATTAGTGGGTCAGGAATTATGAGTAATCTCTGAAAGTTAGAATTTAGATGAGATCAGATTGAAGAAGGAATCCACAGTCCAAAACTGTCCAGCTCTTTGCGATCCCATGGACTCTAGCCTTCCAGGCTCCTCTGTCCATGGGGTTCTCCAGGCAAGAATACTGGAGTGTGTTGCCTTTACCTTCTCCAGGAGATCTTCCCAACCCAGGTGTCCCCAGTTACAAGCAGATTCTTTACTGTCTGAGCCACCAGGGAAACGCCTTGTAATTGGTGCAGGGGAAGGTGTGGAAGGACTTGCCAGGGGCCCTGAGGGAGCTGGAGCTAGAGGTGGTGGGTTGGGGAGAGGGGAGGGGTGCGAACGAATCTTTGAGGTGAGAGGCCTCCTTCCCTCTTGTACATAATAGCTGCTCCTCTGGGAGGTGGGGTGATGCCCAGGGTGGTTGATGATACCACAAAGGATGATGAGCCCTGTGCCAGGACTCTAGGGTGATGGTGGTTTGGAGAGAGGCTGTGATTATAGACAGGCTAATGGGAAACAGTTAATAAGGTGATGACCTCACAATCCCAAATCATGACACATTAAAGGAGGACCATCATGAAGAACAGGCATCTCATTGAGAAATAAGGAATATCTGAAGGGATATAATTATGTATATAATTAGTATTTTCAGAGATCTGTGTGAAAATACTATTCTGCACCCTATCAGCCTGTCATTCAAATATGAAGGTAAAGTGGGACATTTTAAACAACAAGACACTTCAAAATATGCTACTTGTGAACACTATTGTGAAATAATTAGTAGAGAATATACTTTAGCATTGCTAAAAATAAACTAAAGAAAAATATGGAAGCAGTACTGAGTAAAAAAAAGCTTAACTTATAATTGAATCTTAATTATTTAAAGTGTAATAAAATTTGGAACTAAAATCTCATATAATTTCAACATGTGGATGCTCAGGGGAAAAGGGAGAGGACAGGAGGTTGTAAGTGTGGATTAGAACTAGGCTTCAATAGGTAAATATAAGTTTTACATAAATTTTGAATATGCATATTAGAAATTTGAGTGAAACTACTCAAATAGAAGAGATAGGAAATATAACTTCTAAACAATTACAGGAAGAACATGGAATAAACACGATGTGTAAAACAAATATAAACAGCCTAATGAATTTATCAAATAGTAAAATAAGAAATAATAATGCACAGTAAACATAATACACACAAAAATAATGATTGGAACAAATTCAAAGTATGAGAAATAAATGTAAATGGTTTAAGTAACTCTGTGAAAAACAAAGAACTACAGGTAAGAAAAATGAATATCTAGCTGTGTTCCTTATAAGACGCATGAAATGACCCAAGTTGGTGAAAATATATGGATAAGTAAAGATACTCTAACCAAATACTAATAGAAACCAATAATGATAACAAAATCTATTGTAATATATTAATATTAGACAAAATTGAGTTCAAGGTCAAGATTAATTAAAGAGAAAAGCGATGTACATAATGTTGAAAAAGGTTCAAACCAACAAGTATACTTTATGAACACCAAATTACCTAAGTCAGAAATCACTGAAAATAGGAGTAAAATACACACTGTTTAGAAACTGACAGATCAAGTAAGCAAAGTTTAAAATAAAACTATAGTGAATTTGAATAATAATTATCAAGCTTGATGTCCTTCAACTGTCAGGATCATGAGTTGGTTACTTGGGGCTACACAATTCAGGATATAAGACATATTATTTGTTTCACAATATATGCCATCACAGAGGCCCTGACCCCATCACTCCACTCCGCCATTCTTTCATTTCTCTCTCTCTTCCTTCTGTCTACCTACCTATTTTACTTTATTTGTCCTAAAAATTCAAACAGTACAAAGGAGAGAAAGGATAGAGAGAAAGGATCATTCTCTGTCCTCATCTATCCTTCAGTTTCCCAGCTCTCCACCCCAGACTCAACTACCATTTTCAGGTTATGTACCATTCAGGATAATCTATGCAAATACAAGTTGAAACCAGTATGTATATATCTATGTATTTAAGTACATATTTCTGCTTTTTTAAGATGCATGCATTAGACATATGCATTTCCCCACGTTAACAGTTTTTCATAGCAGCATTTTTTTCACATTTAATATAATTAGACTTATTTCTTAATCCTTTACATTTTTTTTTAATAGGAGTGTAGTTAGAATTGGACATGGAACAACAGACTAGTTCCTAATCAGGAGATGAGTATGTCAAGGCTGTATATTGTCACCCTGCTTATTTAACTTATATGCAAAGTACATCGTGTGAAATGCCAGGCTGGATCAAGCACAAGCTGGAATCAAAATTGCCAGAAGAAATATCAATAACCTCAGATATGCAGAGACACCACCCTTATGGCAGAAAGTGAAGAACTAAAGAGACCCTTGATGAAAGTGAAAGAGGAGATTGAAAAAGCTGGCTTAAAACTCAACATTCAGAAAACTAAGATCATGGCATCTGGTCCCATCATTTCATGGCAAATAGATGGGGAAACAATGGAAACAGTGACTGACTTTATTTTTTTGGGCTCCAAAATCACTGCTGATGGTGACTGTAGCCATGAAATTAAAAGATGCTTACTCCTTGGAAGAAAAGCTATGACCAATCTCGACAGCATATTAAAAAGCAGCGATATTACTTTGCCAACAAAGGTCCATCTGGTCAAAGCTATGGTTTTTCTACTAGTCATGTATGGATATGAGAATTGGACTATAAAGAAAGCTGAGCATCGAAGAATTGATGCTTTTGAACTGTGGTGTTGGAGAAGGCTCTTGAGAGTCCCTTGGACTGCAAGGAGATCCAACCAGTCCATCCTAAAGGAGATCAGTCCTGGGTGTTCATTGGAAGGACTGATGTTGAAGCTGAAACTCCAATACTTTGGCCACCTGATGCTAAAACTGACTCATTGGAAAAGGCCCTGATGCTGGGAAAGATTGAAGGCGGGAGGAGTAGGGGACAACAGAAGACGAGATGGTTGGATGGCATCGCCCACTCGATGGACATGAGTTTGAGTAAATTCCGGGAGTTGGTGATGGACAGGGAAGCCTGGCGTGCTGCAGTCCATGGGGTCACAGAGTTGGACACGACTGAGTGACTTAACTGAACTGAGTTGATTTGTAATGTTTCAGGTGTATAGCAAAATGATTTGATTATATACACATACAAACACACACACATATATGTATATATATTCTTTTTAAGATTCTTTTCCATTATAGATTATTACAAGATATTGAATATAGTTCCCTGTGCTATACAGTAGGTCCTTGTTGTTTATCTATTTTATATGGAGTAGTATGTAGCTGTTAATCCAAAAATCCTAATTTATCTCTCTCCTGCTCCTTTTCCCTTTGGTAACCAAAAGTTACCATAAGTTGTTTTCTGTTAATATGTATGTGAGTATATTTCTGTTTTGTAAATAAGTTCGTTTATATCTTTTTTTTTAGATTCCACATGTAAGTGATATCATATGATATTTGTCTTTTTCTGTCTGACTTCACTTAGTGTGATAATCTCTAGATCCATCCATATTGCTGCAAATGGCATTATTTCATTCATTTTCATGGCTGAGTAAGATTCCACTGTATATGTACCAAATCTTTAACCATTCATCTGTCAATGGACATTTATGCTTTTTGTTATGTCCAGAGGTATCATTTTAAAGTTCTAAATATGGTTCTCTTGCATGAGTATATCATTTTTTGTGACCATTGTGAATAGTGTGTCTCTGACCATTCTTATACCTATATTGGTAACCGGTTTTCTAAAAGTAGAATCAAATGTAATTGAATGGAAAGAAACATTTTTAAGACTTTTGAGTATGTGTTGCCAAATTGTTTTCTACAGTGTTTTCTTGTTTTTTTATCATGAGTTCAACATCGGTTACCCAGATACTAGTGTAACTTTGTATTTTAACAAATGAATAAAATTTTAGCTAAGAAATCTGCTAGTGATAAACTAAGGGTTAAGGGATACTAAACCTCTTTGAAAGTGAAGACCCAGGCCTGTTTTTTTGTATATTCAGGTTATCAACCTGTATTTGGTGTAGCCAAGATCAAGCATCATGCATGTGCATTTTTTATTGTAAGTTCAGTTCAGTTCAGTTGCTCAGTCATGTGCGACTCTTTGCGACCCCATGATCCGCAGCACGCCAGGCCTCCCTGTCCATCACCAACTCCCGGAGTCCACCCAAACCCATGTCCATCGAGTCAGTGATGCCATCCAACCATCTCATCCTCTGTCATCCCCTTCTCCTGCCCTCAATCTTTCCCAGCATCAGGGTCTTTTCAAATGAATCAGCTCTTCGCATCAGGTGGCCAAAGTATTGGAGTTTCAGCTTCAAAATCAGTTTTTCCAGTGAACACACAGGACTGATCTCCTTTAGGATGGGACTGGTTGGATCTCTTTGCAGTCCAAGGGACTCTCAGGAGTCTTCTCCAACACCACAGTTCAAAAGCATCAATTCTTCAGTGCTCAGCTTTCTTTATAGTCCAACTCTCACATCCATACATGACCACTGGAAAAACCATAGCCTTGACTAGACGGACCATTGTTGGCAAAGTAATGTCTTTGCTTTATAATATGATGTCTAGGTTGGTCATAAAACTTCAGGATAAAAAACGGGAGTGAGATCGAAGGAATTCAGTATCCCTTGGCTTTCTCTGAAGTTTAACCTTAAATATATTTTGTACCTTTATAATAGAATGAAGAGAGAAAAATCTTCTTTAGAGGAAATGGCAACATGGCAAAGTTTTGTTTTAATGGATCATACAACCCTTTTAAATGAGTAAAGCATGAAGGCAACCAAACTTGTTTCACGGCATAAAGCACCAAATATACGTGTGATCATGGGGCTATGTCCATGGTTCCAAAACAATAATTGTCTCTTAATATACTCCTAATATAGTACCAATGGGGGGATTTTCTAGAAAATTAATTTGGAATTGGACATTACTACTTATTATATCAATATCTTAAAGATTCATAATTCACATTACTGTATTAATGGCTCTGAGAAACCCAGTTTCAAATCTCCTTAACTTCACATTACTCAGCATTTTTGAAGTTTATTTAATCAATAACTCACCTCCACCCCTTTTAAAAACATGTGAGACCTATTAAATAGCCTCAGAAGCAGGGTTCTGGAGAGCATAATGGTCTATAATGTGGTGGAATCATTGAAATGATACCAAAGTGTTTTGTTGGTACAATGTCTGAGTAATATCTTCAAACTGTTGAATGGCAAGGCTGGTATTTTGGGACCCATCATTGAGCTCAGTCATAGGAATGAATCATGCTGAATTAGATGGCTTTAACTTTTCTTGTCTCTGTTGATTCCATCTTGATACTAAGATATAATTAGGTATTCCCTCTAATTACAGCAGATGCTAAGAAGTTCCATGATTTTCTTCACACACCTGTGAACAGGTAAAGGATACACAGTGCAGTAATACTGTTTTGTAGACTTGCCATTTCTTACATTCAGTCTGATCAGAGTCTATTAATATCCATTTACCCTCAAAACAAACAAACAAACATGTTGAAGCTGGTAGAGGATTGCCAAGAGAAGGGAGAGGAAGCCATGGTAGGATACAGCCCCTACCCCCAGCTCATCTAGCAGTCTGGCAGCAGTTATATAACGTGATCAATAATGATTGAGAACACTTAATTCTGCCTACCAGTAACTAACAGGAAATTCCTTAATTATATGCCACAATTTCAAAAATTATAAATTGCATTGATTAATCTTTTCACTTCGCTCACTACCTATGTCTCACTTCAGTTCTATATTATGCTATAAATTACTTCTGTTAAAGAGATTTAAAATGAAGCTTTATTTTATTAATTTTTATGTCTTTATCCCTTTCTTTTGAATGAGAATGGACAGATATTCATTATAAAGAATTCAAACAATCAGAAATGTCTAAAGTAAAAAATAAATGCTCACTGTTCCCCTAACCCTACTATTCAAGGAGTAAGTGATGTTAATAGTTTGCTATGTATACTTTTATATCGGGATAAATAAACATTTATATTTTTATACATTTATCCACATGTAATTTTTATTTCACAAAAATCTTATTGCTATTGTTATGTTCCTAGAGCTTATTTCCCCTCCTTAATATTTTTAACACTATTCCAGTTTGGCCTATACAGATCCACATTATTAGTTTTATAGCTGCTTAGTAGTTATAGTTTTACCAGTCCCCCAAATATGGATAATTATAGATATATTTTTTTCTTTACAAACAATGCACAGTGAATATCATTTAACAGTGTAGTTGTATCTCTTAATTCTGAAGTCAACATGTAAGGTGATAGTCCCTAGAAGTGAAATGAACATAAATTCATTAAATAATAGTATGTGGTTTACCACGTGCTGTATATGTGATTTATAATAAGTATTTAGTCTTCCTCCCTGTTTGGGAATTTCCTAACTGAGGAGACCCTTAAAGAGGTTTTTTGCTATGTTAATGAGTTGACTTTCCAGAAAGCACTTAAGAATGGGGGCTGCTTGCCCAGAGAATCAGTCCTGTGATTAGAGAGTTAGAACTTTAAGTACCCCCTACAGACCTCTGGAGGGGGAAGAGGGGCAGGAGGTTGAGACCGGTCGCCAACAGGTACAGTTGATGAAAGCATTGGCTGTGTAGTGAAACCTTCATTAAAAACCCACAAAGGGGAGAGTTCAGAGAGTTTCTGGGTTGGTGAACATGTGGAGAGTTGGGGGCAGTGGCATACCTGGACGGAAGGCATGGATGGGCCATGTCCTCTCCCCATGTATTACCCCATGCATCTCTTATATCTGGTTGTTCCTGAATTATATCCTTCGATAATAAACAGGTAAGCTAGTAAATAACATATTTCTTTGAATTCTGTGAGCTGCTCTACCAAATTAATTGAACCCAAGAAAGGTGCATTGGGAACTCATCTATAGCTGGTCAGCCAGAAGGACAGGAGATAAACTGGAGGTTTGACCGGTGTCTGAAGTGCTGGAGGTGGGTGTGGTCTTGTAGGTGTGAACGCTTCACTTGTGGAATCTGATGCTATCTTTGGGTAAACAGTCAGATTCTCTGTCACCCTGCTGGTTTCCAAGAATTTCCTGTTGGAGGTGTGGGGAAAATGTTTCCACAGTGGATTTGGTCCAGAACAGCTTCTACCATGTATAGTACACACCTGCCCTGTCATACATATGTACGAATGTATAATATATACAGGCATATATAGTATGAAATACATTCATATGCGATATGCAATTTTCAGTGTTCTAGTATATAAAAAAGAGAATGTGTGGTTGAATTCCTCCAAGTATAGATATTTTCTTGTACATATGTTTTTGGGCACATGCGCAAGAACTCAACGTAATTTTCCAGCCAAGAGTATTTTTATTAAGATGTAAATTTGATCATGTCATTTCCCTGCCGAAAACTCTTCATTGACTTTCATGGGAATTTAGACAATGTCCCAAATCTCTGACGCGGTTCATGTGGCTCTGCATTCTTCTCCCCAGCCAACCTCTCCAGCTTCGTCTGATGCTCTTTCCATCACTCACTGGTCTTGGGCCATCCTGGTCTTTTTCATTTATTGGATGTGCCTTTCCATATCTGCATCATTTATGCCTGGAAGATTTTTTTTTTTCTCCAGTCCTTGGGTAATCCTTCATGACTGCCAATCTGTAATGTACAACTGGGACCTCCTTTGTTAATTCTCATGTCAGCCACAGTTTTTCTATTAGGAGAGTTGTGATTTTAAGAATATATGTATTTGTTCATTTATTCAACAACCTATATAATTTCATCTGTTAGGAAAAAGCTTCATGAGCTTTTTACCACTGTATTCTCAGCCCCAAGCATCTAATGGGAGTTCAGTAAGTAGTGATAATAATAATAAAATAAACCCTTGCAAAACACTTCATAGCACTACTCCAAGTGGCATATTTATGAACACATTTAATCCTCACCACAGTCCTAAGTTGTTATTACTATTTCCCCCACTTTACAGATAAGAAAATTGAAGCATAGAATGGTTATGTCACCTGTCGAAGCTCAGACAGCTGGTAAGTGACACAACTGCCACTTGAATTTAAGTAGTCTGGTTCCAGCATCTGTACTCTTAATCTGCCGTCGTGTCTCAATATTTTCAATATGAAAGATCTAATGCAGGCCAATAAAAGAAAACCCTTTGGAACTCCCCTGGCAATCCAGTGGTTGCGGCTGTGTGTTTCCACTGCAAGGAGCTGGGAGGGTGTGGGTGGTGGCACAGGTTTGATCCCTGGTCAGGGAACCAAGATTCCACTTGCCTTGCTGTGCAGCCAAGAAAGAAAGAAAGAAAGAAAGGAAACCCAGGTATAAAAGTGCAGCAGCAACTTTGTACCATTTTTATTTTGTCTAAAGCCTTACTTATTAGTGTAAGACCTATTTGTACTATTGGGGTTTATTTTTGAGATATTTTATCTCTGATCATTAGATTCATCATGTTTAAGAAATGTCAAAAACAATATAAATGTTAGAAAGTAATATAGGTCTATTTATTATGGAAACAGTTTGAGTTAAAAAATTAAAAGAGCTAAGGAAAAGATGACTGTTTGTAGATTCACTTTGGACTGCCAAATTTCCCTCTAAAAGGTTACATTGTGTTTTTTAAAAATTCTTCATATTTTATGAAAGTGCCTTCTCCCCACACTCTCCCTAACATTGACTGTGATTCATCTTTTACATTTTTGTCACTTGGCTGTGTTTCAAACTAAGATGTCTTTAGTTAACTGAAAATTGAGCATGTGTGGGCACTTGGTAAGTGCTTTTTTGCTAAGAGGTTGCTATTTAACAAACTTTGCATAAGTCATTTTCTTTAGGCGTCATAACTCTGTGTGTGTGTGTGTGTGTGTGTAATGGCGCCTTAAACAATTCTAGGGTTCCATTCACCCAGTATTTACTTTATTTTTAGTTGTGTGTTAGTAGATCATAAAGATGGTTTGTACCCAAGGAACTAGTAATTTAGTTAAATATTCCAGACTAACACTTATGACTTAGAGGTGAACAGTATAAAAGAACAAATGATTTAGTACTAGACTGTGTGCTGCAGACCACTAATGACACATCATCAACAGTGTTTTCAGCGCCACTGTACCCAGGATGCTAACAGAGGCCTTGAGAGGGAGCCAGGACGGGAGAGGTGAGGTGTTTGTACTCCAGAAAGCAGTGGGCAGGTCAAGAGAAGGCCGCCCTGAAGCAAAACCTGGTTAGACCGTGAAGCATGATTAGAGTTTAAGTAGATTGGAGTGTGGCTTCCCTGGTGACTTCAGAAGCCCTGGTGGCTCAGATGCTAAAGACTCTGCCACAATGCAGGAGACCTGGGTTTGATCCCCGGGCCAGGAAAATCCCCTGGAAAAGAGAATGGCTACCCACTCCAGCAAAAACAAGACTGGGAGCTGACTGTGGCTCAGATCATGAACTCCTTATTGCCAAATGGAGACTTAAATTGAAGAAAGTGGGGAAAACCACTAGACCATTCAGGTGTGACCTAAATCAAATCCCTTATGATTATACAGTGGAAGTGAGAAATAGATTTAAGGGACTAGATCTGATAGACAGAGTGCCTGATGAACTATGGA